TCTAATATAATCAGTCAGTCTACAACGAAAATTATTTAAAACTTATTTGCGTTGCTGTCATGCGATTAGAACTCTAAGCAGTATTCGTTGAATCAAATTTACGCTTTAAAATGAATTTAAAAGATAAAAATGTTATCTATATCGGCGGTTTCGGTGGTATTGGGCAAAAATGTTTGCAAACTTTCCTCAAAAGAGAAATTAAGGTAAAAGGGTTTTTATAAATTTGGTATAAAAAAAAACAAAAAAAAAAGGATTTAAAACTTTTTGATAAAATTCTCGCAGAATTTAATTGTGTGCGATTTACATGATAACGAAGAAATATTGAGGTCGTTACGTGACTCGTACAGCTACAGTAATATATTTTATATACCGATAGACGTAACAAAAAACGAGAGTATTGAAGAAGCTTACAAGTTAGCAGCGAAAAAAGTGAATAAATTCGATGTGGTTGTCAATGGTTGCGGTTTAATGAATGATAGTTTTATAGATCTTACCATTGACATTAATTTGGTAAGTAGTTGACGATGATTTGATTTGTTTGTTTGTTTGTTTGTTTGCTTGTTTGTTTTCGTTTCTCTTAATAAAATGAAATGCAATGCAAAAACGATGATATCTATGCTTTAAATGCAGAAGGGTGTCATTCATAGCACTTTAAAAGCGTTAGAATATATGGATGCGTCAAAAGGAGGTCGTGGTGGCGTTATTGCTAACATATCGTCAGTAGTTGGATTACAGCCAAACGGCATGTTTGCTATTTACTCAGCCGCTAAGTGCGGCCTCACTGCTTTTACATGCAGCTTGGCGGTAAGTTAAATTCTCTCTACTTGACTCTACAGTTAACTTTCAATCAGTTGACATTTTTTATGCAACAACATGTTAGTATCCCTTGTATTATAAATATACCGGAGTTAGATTAATTACATTATGCCCGGGATTTACCGAAACAACCCTATTGGATTCTGTACGTGGTAAAGAAACGCTAACCGAATACGCTGAACCGTTGGCAGCCGCTTTTGCTAAAGTTAAACGTCAAACACCCGACATTTGTGCTGAGATGATTGTAAAGGCTGTGGAGATAAGTAAAAATGGTAATGTTTGGATGCTCGATGACGGAGAAATGACGGAAATAGAATTTCAAACATTTTGGAAGCCAAAAATGAATACACAATAATAAGCATATCTGTCTAATTTAATTATCTGAATATACATATATAGTATTCTTAAAGTAGAAAGATCTTCATTCAAAACCCTTTGAAATGAAAATAAATGCAATTTAAAATTAAAATGAAAATAAATAAGTAAGGAGGTTGAATTCGGCCGGGGCCGAATCTCACACACCCACCGCTATGTTTTTCGTATTCTACTCTCCAAGTTCTTTCATTTGATACCCATATCGCTGGTATTAATAGGAAAAAAATAATCGGTCCACTGCGCGCTTCCGCTTCCACCGATTTTGCCCATTTTCAATACCAGAACTGTGTACAGAAACTTCCAATGTTTCTACTGATTTTGAAGTCGATATTTCCATAGTTGCGACCAGGAGAGAGTCAATAATATACATCACACAGACACACAGACGGACAGACATTGCTAAATCAACTCGGAATTTCACGCTGATCAAGATTATATACACTTTATAGGGTCTCTGAAGCTTACTTTTAGGTGTTGCATGTATTATGGAAGAAATGAGCGTACCCCCATTTTATAGGTGGTGGGTACAAAAAGTGAACTATCTATTTTATAAATACAATTACTATGTCATTTTGTAAACATTATATTACCTAGAAATCAATCAAAGCCATTGTAATTCGTCGAAAATATGGCTAACACAAATAATCTTAGATGCTTGCAAAAATTGTGATCATTTTTTCACTTGAAAAATTCTCTTATTATAGAAAATTGCTACAATATTTATTAATCAAAACCGTTTCCAACATTTTACAATACTTTTGGCAACGTGGCGATATCATGTCGAAAGAGTTTATCTTGGTTTGGCAGCGATCCACCTATCGATCCATTTTCGCACTTCTTGAACTTTGGAGACCCGCGTGCTACCCAAGCCATGCTGCGCCGATCTGAACAAGTGGTAATGAGAAGCCGCCATGTCTTATGACTACGCTGGGTGTGACAGAAATTCCCTTTTGAGCTGCAACTGTGTATCCTAAACAACTCTTGCAATAATTGGCCGAAAAAAATGGCATTTTCAGTCAATTCGTGTCGACACTTTTAAACCGCCGAAGCCAGAAAACGACAAAAGGGATATGGTGGAGCAACATCACCACAATAAGAGTAATGAATTTGGAAGAAGAAGAATTTTAAGCGCTCTATGATTAACGTCGGCATACGCTGCATAATATTTATGCAATAATATTGAAATGAAAAACTGTTATGTTACGTAGAGGAAGCTCAAAACCATTGGATTTAATCGTCACGTACGATGGTATTTCGCATTTCTTTATCATTTTTAATTGTAAAAATCGTTGATCACAATTTTTGCAAGCACCTAATATTTTGTTTTAAATCAAAAGAAATTAAATTTAATCAAAAGGATATTTGACTCCAAGCGAATGTTTCCATCTTCACATGTATCTTACGCAATTTATAATGAAAGCTCTTATTATAGTTTCGCAAGCAATCGCGACATCATATAAAAGCTTTCTGGCTTGCTGCGAGCGAAAAGATGAAATCGAAATGAAAATATTCGGGCACACATCACACTATCATTATATATTGATGTGCTAGATGGATTAGCAAAAAAAGCAAAAAAGAAATACACTGCCCGAGCAGAACTTGTTAGTGTATATATGGCCGTGTGATATAAATCCCCATTAACCTTAATCCCGACTCTCCATCCCGGCTTAAAGGCTTCTTGAAGACTTATGTAAGGTAACCGTTAAGATTGTCATATCGTTATAGCTTTCCTAGATGGTCAAATACAGGCGACATGTCGTCCTTTCATCACACTGCCCCATCTGATGAACAACCTCGCAGCAGTGATCTTTCCCACCATACCCGATATTTCTATTTTTAAGTCAAACGTGCACAGGCACTGCCTCATCGCTCTATATCTATAACCCTTCCTCACGATCGTCGCGACGCACATCTCCTGATATACAACAAATAAAAAAAAACAAAAACAAGGCAACTTTGCTAACTCCTCACGACCGATAACGAACAATCTCATCCGTACATAAAAACAAAAAAATAAATAAATAAATAAAGAGAAAAATTAAACTTATACTTAAATAACAAGCAGAATAATTAACGTCATTTACCGGTAATGTATACTAGGCGTGACACCTGCATTCAAAGTACATGGCAATATCTTTACCGAACTTTTTTTTCTTCTCATAGTTCATAGGTATTGATTACAATGTGCGGTTCGTATATACGTAGTTGTACATGTATGTACACATGTAGTATATAAAGTTAACTTTATCCCGAATATGTTTATCTCTTCCTTTTTTTTTTTTTTTAAAAAGTTACTTTTCTTCTTGGTGGTCTCCTTAATATCGAGCGCATGATAAGCAAACGAAAGAGGAATCGAAAATTGACCGAGCCGCCGACCTTTTCTAAGAAACGCCATATCTTTACGAAAACCTTCTAAATATTGGAGGACTTAAGACAATTGATCTTTCTTGCCGCATTAACCGGGGAAAACTTTGCATTTGAGATAAGAAACCTTGACGAAATGCAAAAGTAAGATCCAGGAACTGTTGTCAGACTCTAATGAAAAGTAATCTCAAATCAGCAGTGTATGTGTTATTATATAATTTTGAGATTCATAAATTTTTCTTATAATGAATAATAAATATCGAATTGATGAAATGCTATCAAAATTTCATCATTCATTCGCTCTTTGCTCGAGATTTTCATTCGAAAAATGAAAGCAAAACTGACTATGGGATCGAATTATGAAAAAAGCTTTCATATACAAATCCCCGCTTATAAACGGCGATTATCACACTCGATTAAATTAACAGAGAAATCATTTTAATTATAGCTATCTGCTAATCTATCTGTTTTTCGTCTCTACCGACTACGGCGACGGCTGCCATCTTGAATGTTCCTCTAGAAAATGAAATATGCTCTAACGTCCTGACTTTGGATTGCATTTCATGTCCATCCTATCACATAATTAGCATTTACGTTATGCTTTATGCACACATGTACATCTATAACTAAAATGAAAATTCGCTGAATTAAGAAAAATGCCCATAGAAACTTATAGTTCACTTTTTAGGGAATTCTGTTTTCTTTTTTTTTTTTTTTAATTGGACCAACCACTTAGCGGATGCCCGCTATACGTGTAGCTAGGAGGTGTTTATAAAGAAGCGAAGAGAGAAAGAAAAATATGGCGATGGCTAAAACACAAGCCGCTAACACCAACCAGATTATCTATCTCTAACTTTCTTTCTCAACAACTAATTCAATCAATACTGAGTAATTCATCGACTCACAAAAGCTAAAAAAGGTAGACTCGTTCACTCGATGTCGGGATCGAATAGCAATTCGATCAAACACTTGAACATTTGCATATCGGTTTATGTAAAGCTAGATCAGCGCGAGGTATCATTAAACGGTGGTCCAAGCAGTTTAATGGTGAAAAAGGCTATACATGAGCTTAGTGAGACCAATAGTTGACTATGCCCGTACTGGATGGCCTCCTTCCTATAGGTGCTATCTAGCTCTAATCGAATCTGTTCAAAAGCAAATTTCTACTGTTTACCCTTAGGAATTTGGGTTGGGACGCGCTCATCTTTCTGCCTCGATTGCTTCTGTTAGCCTTAGCATAGCTTAAGAAACGTTATAGATGTTTCCTTCTTAATTAATTAGTTAATATATGGTACTATCGATTCTTCGACATTATTTGGTGCGATAAACTTTAATGATCCAAATAGGTCTCTATGCACTTTACCTTCACTTTACCGCTTAGCTAATGTAAATATAATTACGAGCTTTTAAATCCATTCAGAGTCGTTTGCAAAAATCCAAATATCGGGCTCTTTAAATTCTATCAAAACAACTATCCTTAATACGCGCGGTTTGCTTATGTCATATTTAATTTACCTTGCAACCTTAACAGCTTACTGTGATTCGAAAATTAACTGATGTTGTTCACTGTTATCGGTTGCCAAGCTTTTGCATGCTTGCAATCGCTTAGGGGGACGTTCGCAATTTTGATCTGTACCGGTTGTGGGTGTGCTTTCGTGCTAGATGTACGCATGCTTTTTTCCTTTTTTTATCTTTTATTCTTCTCTCTGTTCTCTTTTCTTCTTTCTCTTCACTTCTCTTTATTTTTATATGCTTTGCATTAGTTTTTAATAATAATTAGTATAAGATTTAATTTTAAGAGAGAGCAATATGCAAAAATCCGATGCGCAAAATGTAACTATATCTGATCAAGAGTTAATCAAATAGCGGAATCTATTTACCACAATCATCGTCGCTTGCGTATTGAAACCAAGATTTCAGTTTGACTAGAGTATCAAGCATAACAACTCAAACAGCCTTTGTACTCTCACTGAATGCATTTCTCTGATAAATAATTAATAAAATCAAAAAAAATAGATTCAGTCAGTCCTTCTATCATGCCAAACAGTAGAGGTATTTCCGCTTATCCGGCTACCCGGCTTTATCTGACCCTTTGCCTGTTTACCGTTTGATACGGCAAATCTATTCTGTCACCCAGCTTTTGGGCATGCTCAAGAAGAGTAATACGTACTAACTATGTCAAGCAGAAAAATGGTATCAGTTAATGTCGGTCAGCTGATAGCAAAGTTCGTACCAGTTTTATTTTAACAAAGTAAAAAACTTTAGCACGACGAAAATGATAAGATTATTATCCATCAAACGATAAGATAAGTGATGTCTATACATGCCGTACATCGTATTTATTGTAGCAGTTGAATAGATGACAAACTGAGCGAGCGATTGGCTCGAGACTGCTCGTTACGGAAGATATGATAAATCTCATAAAAATAAGTCTTTACCGGATAATAGGGCATAGTATAAACAAATGAAAAAAATTATATTCGATTGCGACCGAATCTTTTATGTCCATTACCGCTAGGCTGCACAAGATTGAAAAAAAAGGAAATTTGTATATTCAATAATATTGGATGGGCTGACCTTTTCCATCTATATTTTTATGCTCATCACCGGGTGGTGCGATGAGGGTTATATTCATTTTGTAAAAACGTTTGCAACGCCCGGAAAGAAGCTTCAGAGATCCCTCCAAGGATCAGCATCAAATACTAAATCGATTGAAACAATGTCCACCGTAGACATTCTCTTGGTCACAAAAAGGGAGCAATCAACTTTAAATTTGGCAGAAGCATTAGAAGTTCCTGCACGCAGATCGGCAATGCAAATGGACTAAATCGAAGGGGTCGAAGGACACGGCCACAATACCACATACGCTGAGAAAATTCCGGTTTTTCAAACGGAATAAAAATTTGGTTATTTACTCATTACTCATAGGTTATAGCAGATAAATCTAGACAAATTTGATGGGCGATTCTATAGTGCGTCTAAGAAAAATCAAAACAATCCGCCACGCCTATACTCAACTTAATAGCGTGTCATAATTTAACTTTAAGTTTTTCATAACCTTTCAATAATGCACAGAAGCAAACCCCATAAAGTAAATAAATTCTTGGAAAGTTTCAAATTTCGAAAACACTGATGCATCTCCATCCATTCATCTGTTCATTTGTCCGTTTGCGCAACCGGAAAGTATCTACAACCCTCGTGAGAACGATTTTGCTTTTCGCGTCTTTTTACTGTTGCACTTACATCATATAAATTTCCACCTTTATTCTGAAAATAGAAATATCGACCGCGCCCACTCAACATTATAGAGCATAAAGATTTCAAATTTTTCCTTTCTTTTTTAGGATCACCGTGATGGGCATAAAAGATTCGGCATTTCTCTACAATTTGTAAGGGGTCTAGTATTTGAACAAATAAATGAATTAATAAAAATACAATTTCGTATATCTGTTGCAGTTTATGAGCGACGATCAAAAGACACGGAAAACGACAGGTGTTCTCAAAAGTGTAGGCGTTGCAGGCAAGTTCTTTGATCTGCTTGCGCCATCTTATATCTCTTTTGTAAACAAGATACTACACAGTTCGGCAGACGGGTAAATGGACCGACTAACAGACGGACGGACATGCTTAACTGATCAAGAATCTATGTATATACCTTGTGGGATCGCTGAACTTTCGTTCAGGGCGTTGCAAAAAATTTGGACGCAATGAATTTACCCCTCAATTTTCGGGGATGGGTATAAGAAGTGATATAAAGTGCTTAACGGTCGACGTTGCCCGACAACAACATTTTCATTATTTTATTTACATAGGATAGAGTGGCCTCTTTTAAAAGATGATAAGCATTAAAATTGGTATGCAGAAGTTATTCATGCCTACGCAATAAATGCTTGCTTTACAAACAACAAATAAAGAAGTTGAATAGAGAGAGAAAGAGCAAATCTTACGGAGATATTGAATCTAAATAACAAACAATTAAAAAAAGTTTAATTCGTTCGAGACCGAATATTTTATACCCATCACTGTTTAACTCAAAAAAAAAGACAAAAAAAGTAAAAGAATAAAATTCTTATACTCTATAATATAGATTGGGCGCAATTGATTGCTTCTATTTTCAAAATGAAAGTTTTTCTCGTCGAGGCATGTGGGCGTTGTAGGCGGGTCCTTTGAAAAGTTTAGATCAAAGGTTACGCATGTTACAAATGCTACAAACTTACGCAAGCAAACAGATGGACAGACGAACAGGCGGACATGTTTAGGTGCATTCAAGGGTTAAAACTGGCCAAAAATTTGTAGACTTTATGGAATTTTGGAAGCTTGTTTCTATGTGTGACACTCAAAAAAATACATTTTGATCCACTATAATAATAGGTAGGCGTGGCAAATTTTTTCCATTTTTGTGGACAGATGCCACAGCAACGCCCACAGAATATGCGATCAAATTGTTGTACATTTACTTGCTATATGCTTTATGAGTAATGAGCAAAGAACCAATTATTCATTCCCTTTGAAAGGCAAAGGTGTTCTCAGTTTACGTAGTGTTGTGGGCGTGCCCTTCAACCGATTTCGTCCATTTTGAATGCCAAGCTACGTGCAAGAATTGCCGCTGTTTCCGCTAAATATTTGCGGTCAAGAAGATGTTTACTACAGGCGGACAGACGGACATACTTAAATCCATTTAGAATTTGATGTTAAGCATGAATATATATATACTTTGTGAGTTCGCTGATTCTTCCTTCTAGGCGTTGCAAACGTTTTGAAAAATTGAATATGGCCCTCATCTTTCGGTGATGGCCATAATAATTAAATAAATGTAATGATTGTATAAATGTGTAAATAAAATTTAGTTTGTCACTTAGAATGTTATTTAACTTTGGTAATTAGAAGAAAAGTTGATCACAAAATGCCAATTACTGACGATAAGGCAAATTATTTAACGGACTGTGGTGACGTTTATGAAAAGTTATTCAAATTCATTAAAATTAATTAAACTTGATCGCAATTTTTAAATCTAACTTATCCTTATCATCGGATCCGAAACTAGTAATCTTAGAAATCCTCGCAGCTGAGCTACTACTCAGACTACATACTTCTACATCCTGTAAGAGTGACGCTTACTAAAAATTTGAAATCTTTTCCCATTTGTTTTTTTTTTGTTTTTTTGTTTTTTTTTTTTTTTTCTTAAAAAGAATACTCTAGGTATCCGTACTAAAATGGGCAAAACTGATGACTGAAAGCAAGTATTGTGCTTCAATATAATATTGAACCTGAAACATTAAAGTTCTGATTGCCATCGCTGGGATATGGGGTATGTGTGTGCATGTCCGAAATGGCTTGAAAACGTTTCGCTTCAAAGAAGCTTGCATTTTTTCGCTATGCTCAATGATCAAGGATTTCTTCCACGGGTTATTATTCACTTTGTAAGAATTTGAATAAAGGAGAGATTTTTTTTTTTTTTGACTTTATTTGAATTTATTTATTTATTTATTTATTATTTATTTATTTATTTATTCTGTAAGAATTTGAAAAAAGGAGAGATTTTTTTTTTTTTGACTTTATTTGAATTTATTTATTTGAGTTTCAATTTATTTGAAAGACATTCATTATCTTCGAGATGAGATATTTATATGGTACAGTAAACAGTGGGAACCACTTCCTTTACGTTGCCTTGTTGACAAATGTAAATGCCACCGTTTTTCATTTGATCCATAACATTAACCACATTTACAGCACATTCTTCGGGAGTTTGGGTTTTCGATTGTGTGACGGCGTTCCATAAGTCATCGGTATGGGGAACCCATTTTAACCAATTATTTTGGTCACGCTTATTGACCATCACTTCAGCGGTAGTTAAACCAGGGCAAATGCAAACAAATGCCACACCAGTCTTCTTGTACAGGGCTTCGTTCTACAAAATTTTTAAATGCCAAGTAAGCGAGTTTCCATAAAGTGGTAAGGTAGCCGAAGCAGATAACATACCGCCATAGATCTAGCGAAACCTACGACACCGTGTTTAGCGGCAGTGTAAACACTGAAAGCTGGACCTGGTTCTAAGCCATACACCGAAGCAACATTTACAACAACACCACCTTGGCCAGATTGCGTTTTATCCATGAAAGGCAACAAACCGAGAGTGGTGTTTATTACACCAGTCTAAAGTTGAAGAATATCAAAAATGAATTCGCTTCAAGCCCCGTAACACTTACCAAATTCACGGCCACAGTAGTATCAACGTCCTTATCGGCCAAAACTGAAGTACCGTTAACCAATACATCGACATGTCCCACGGCTTGAACTATTTCTTTAACAGCATGATCCACACTCGTGCGGTCAGCAACATTAGCTTGAACAAATGTCACCTTAACGGTGGAGTTAAGCGATTGAATCTTTTTCAAAACTTCAACGTTCTCCGTGCGACTGCATACGACCAAGTTCTGAGGAAACATAAATAAATCTAATTTTGCATAATATCTTTCTAAATCACACGCACATCGTTTATCGTACCTTAATGGGTTTTTGCACAACAGCATAGCAAACTTGCAAACCAACACCATTGAAGTCGCCTACGTAAACAACATTTTTACCGGTAAAATTAAACATTTTTCAAATTTAACAATTTTTTGATTTCTCTTCTAAAGCGGTTACTTTGTAACTGAATAAAGCTCGTTGAAGAACTGTTGCTAAATTCCCGAAATTCATATGCTTTTATAGCTCAAATTAATCGAAGCATATATATATATATATATATATATATATATATATTGCATACATTCACACATCACAAAGGCAACGTTTAAAGGTGATTTGTGCAAGATTGATAAGACGCACCGAGAGACAGAAGACTCTGCGATACATATGTACATAAGTATCTAAAATAATTTATATGATGTGCTGTGAACTCAGGCAGATGAGTTCAATCGGATGATGATGATGATGTTTTCAAAAAGAAATTCTGTAGATTATTTTCAGCAAAAACAATGAAATAAATTTTCGCCTATTGAATTATTAGCAGAAAAATAGCAATACAAGGGGTCTTGTGCATTTTTCATAAACAATATTTATGCATATATATGTTCATCTATATATATATATATATATATATATATATGTAATTTTCATGTAACAAAAGGATACGATCCACGAAAGAAGTCATACACTTCCGGTTTCTTTATAGATGCCATCTATGCTATCTATGTCATATATATATATCATACATACGATTCATATATATATATATATGATATACAACGATTAATACGAGATATATATCATACGATATCTGAATGATATGTATGCGTATATATGCATATATATAGGTGGCATCTATGTTATATTTTAGATTATCTTATATAAGGAAACGGGAAGTGTGTGAGAATTTTGCTTAATATAGTGTATTAGATGAACCCCGATTTAATCGTAGCAGTCGAAGAAGTAAGAGAAGGAAACCAAGATATGGGATTTGGAAAAGATACGACAACAACAAAAAAAGGACACTCAAATTGGAAGTCAATATTTTTCTTAAATTTTAGAAAAATATCTAGCGTAAGTTACAAACTTTTTCCTATTACATTACGCTTTTAGGCAGAGCAGGTCTAGAAAATAAAAGCGCACGTTTACGCTTCTCTCTCAAATTTTGCAAATCGAAAATTGAAGGACAGATAGACAGACTATTGTAACTAAGCTCGCAATTTTCAACTGATAAAAATACGTATAGGCTTTGTGGGATCTGTGCTGCAGATTTCTAGATTCTACGATCGACACGACGAATATCAAAGAAATCGCATTATTTCGCATTATATAATTAAAATGTTACAATCATCTGTAAAAGTATACTTTACTAGCCCTTGATGGAAATTCAATTTTGACGTTGTGTTCTCTTTTCATATCCACCACTGTAAGATGGGGGTGCACTCATCTTTTTCCATAATATATGTAACAGCCAAAAGTATACATAACCCTATAAAGTATATATATTCTTGATCAGCGTGAAATTCCGAGTTGATTTAGCAATGTCTGTCCGTCTGTGTGTCTGTGTGTCTGTGTGATGTATGTTATTGACTCTCTCCTGGTCGCAACTATGGAAATATCGATTTCAAAACTAGTAGAAACATTGGAAGCTTCTGCACATAGGTTCGTATTGAAAATGAGCCAAATCGGTGGGCACGAAAGCGCGCAGTGGACCGATTGCTTTTTTTTCTTAATAATACCAGCGATATGGGTATCAAATAAAAGAGCTTGGAGAGTAGAATGCGAAAAAGATAGTGATGGGTATGCGGGATTCGGCTCCCGCCGAATATAACTTTCTTACTTATTTAAATTTTTAAAATGTTTATTGAAAATAAACATTTATTATATGATTCATTACAAATATTGTATATATGAAAATCGTTGACGATTGCGCCTACAATAAAATTTTCAAGAGCTTTTCTGCACATCAGTTCGTTTCATATATTCATTTGCAAATTTTATATGATTGCTTTTCAAGGAATCGCGAAGAAACTAATCCAAGATCTGGATAATTTAATTCTTGTACTTACCGCATATACGTCAGCTCCATTCTGTTGATAGGAAAGACAAAAATGATACGATTACATTTTGAATTAATGGTAATCGATTGGGGCTTCTCGTTCGTTACATTTGCAAAGAAAGGCGCTATTCACAACACCATAACGCTATCGACTATCATCAATGCAATTTTCGTTAACGAAGGCCTCATCAAGCCGACGCATGTAAAATCCGATTGCGTGAAGTGACCCCAGGTTTTTTCCCGAATTTTTTTACTAACCTTGGATAAAGATTCGCAAATAAAATAATCACTAATATTATTAAGTATTATTTTAAAGAATCTCAATTCTCATAATAATTTTTATAAATTTTTCGCAATTTTTTTTTGCATTACAGAAAAAGATGAAAGTTTGATTGAATCAAACAGACAGAAATTCGAATAATCGAAATGTTTTAAATCAGCTGAGACATGTGAACTTGTTCACATTTGCTGCAAACATAATATCCCGTTTAATTAGGAAACTTGACATGTGTGGCAAAGTCCCAGAACTTATAAAAGGAATGAACGACTTCAGATATCAAATATTGGTTTATTTATTGGATCCAAAAGTGAATGGCAAATTATTTTGGCCAATATATTGTCATGTATATGCACTCTCCCTTTCTTGTTCGTTCATCTTTACCTGCGCTCCTTTTACCTAAAATGATCAGAGTAAGCTTACAATATTCAATGGAAAATAATTATATATGCAATTATCGCCATATGAGTTTCTGCCGCCGAATACTTTAAATTTCGCAATTTTTATTTTGCATTTTTTTAAAAACATTTCACGTCGTAGGTAAACAAGTAAAATTGTATTGGTGGCTTTGTTTCCACGGGGCGAACTTCCGCTTGAGAAGTGCGAGCAAATTGAAGAAATGCGAGTTGCTGGTAAAAAAATTGGCAACGTAACAATTACGATGATTCGGAACCGTAATGCGATTTCAAAATTTCCAAAAAAAATCCCAAAAACTGTGGATGGATTAGGCGCAGTAAAAGCGTCCCGACCGTAAATCAGAGCAGCCGGCATACTCCATATTTAGTAACTAATGAAAATATGAATACTTGCAGGCAAATAAAGCTAGTATTAGAGACAGCAGCTGAAGCATTCTCCCTAAAGATAATACAGGACCAATGCCATAAAAATACCCTCGAAAATATGATAATTAGTGATGAGAAAAAGTTTAATTTGCACGAACCTGATGAAGTACGGATGCATGATATCCTCGACTAACGTGTTACAAGCGCAACCATGAAGGTAGAGAGCTTATGGGCTGCATTTAGAGCACAAGGTAAATCAAAAATATAAACTTTGCACGTAGCAAAATGATCGCGTAGACATATGTACACTTGTTAAAGAGCAATTTAATAGATTACGCTATAGAGCTATATAATGATAATTGTACGTTCCAACAAGATGCAACGCTGCAATGCAAGACGCACAGGTTACAACGGGTTTTTTTCAATCACAAATCGTCACCGCCTCCAACCTCATCCTCATCGCGATTAACAAGCTCTGGAATACTTTCCGCCCAGGGTATTTTCCAAATCGAAGCAGTATTCTACGCTAGAATGGAAGATGATTGAAATCGATTTCATGCCAAACAGACTACAACAAGCCCATGTTCGTAAGGACAAGGACACCGTATCACATTAATTACATAATACTATATTTTAATAACCGTAATTAATACTAAATTTCATTTTTGATCATTTCATTATTTCCGATCAAGCACATATCGAATGTATTTTTTTTGAAGCAAAAAAATTTTATTCTTTAAGCTACACCTTAAAATAATGCATTGCATTGCATTATACATGTAAATATTTGTGAGAAATATGTGTCTGGGGGCTGGTCAGAAAAGGCGACTTTTATCAAATAAAAAGGAAACATCTTACCTATTGTGGACTGAAATGACTGCCGATGAGTTGTGAGAAACCTTGAAAATCAAAAACATGATTGTAAAGGACCGTATGTCCACATGCCTATCTCAACGATAATTCGCCCTTACAATTTCTCCTAGCAATATGAATTCCAAAGGAAAAAAATTAATTAAATGAATTTCGACCAGTCTTAGGCTATCGCAGAACTTAATTTTATCTAAATTTATTGAAAATAAAAATATGATTTTTCTGGCATTGTTCAAAGATGATAATCATCTTGTTTTAATTGTAGCCAAGTCATCCAAGGTTGATACCTGATACCTTTCTTAACCTAATTACCTGCAAAGAAATTGATTGAATTTGTTCTCTAAATTATTTGATTACATTCTTGACATATACTGACAATTTAATAACGTGAGACGAAACCATAAATATCTTTTCAATTCTATTATTTTATTACGATAATCCAACCCTAGCACAACAATCGAGCATCTGCCACTTCTGAATATTTATAACCAAAAACGATGAATCGATATATATAATGAATTCGTTAATTCAGATAAGCCAAAGGATTAAATGGTTTTCTTTACTCGTTTTCTGCTGCCAATCGGAGAACAGAAAAAAAAAAAGAAGGGAATGTCTTCTTAATTGAACCGATTTCGTTGAAAAGGTCACCCCCACTGGATTCGTTCTATTCGAAGAACCGCGACTGGCAATCGTAGTTGCTAAAAATGAATGAAAGAGAAAAAAAAAACCAAATTATATGTACGTATGTAACTACTTACATTTCTACAAAAGATTTTTACTCATTTACTTAAAAACTGAAAGCGAGTTTTCTTTTGTAAACTGTTTTTACTTTATTTATGATCAAAATTTCAAAATACATATTTCCTTGCATGTGGGTGTATATGTGTTGAGTGTGTGAGTGTGAATGTGGGTATGTTTGTTTCTCCGTTTGTAACATTCTCTTTTCCTTTTTTTTTTTTTTTTTTTTTTTTTTTTTTTACTGTTGTCACTACATAGGCAAGGAGAGTGAGCTTTTTCTCTTTTCGTAACATATGTATAATAATTAATATAATAAACAATAATATAATTTCATTAGGCGGGTAGAGACGTGCTGGTTTTAAATCTAAGCATCTAAGTATTAGTTACTGATGATTAGAATACATGTATAGTACACAAAAAAAAAAAAAAAAAAAAAAAAAAAAAAAAAAAAAAAAAAAAAAAAA